AAAAAAAAAAAAAAAAAAAAAAAAAAAAAAAAAAAAAAAATCCACTCTTATGGATGAATGCATAGTACCTTTTTGTTTTAATTTGCTTTTGCTTAATTTTTTAATAAAGCTGAGCATCTTTACATCATTTATTGGACATAAGTATATCTTCTTTGTTCAATTCTCAATTTCCTTTACCTACTTATACATGCAATTGTTTGAATTGATAAAGCCCTTTTTATATTATGAATATTCATGTTTCATCTTAATATTTGGCCATACTTTCTCCTAATCTGTGACTTTTCTTGTAAGTTCATTATGGTATTTTTTATTGTCTAGAAGATTTTAGGTTTTATTTTAATCAAATTATTTATTTCTTTTAGAACTTCTAGGATCTGTGAATTCCTTTCCAACCAGTTAGCTAAATATTGTCCCAAATTTTCATTTAGCACTTTTTACATATGTATATATTTTTGTTCTGAATTGTATTTTTTCATGATATAAATAGCGATATTTTTCAGATAGATATTTAATTCTTTTTATAATTTATTAAATAGATGACTTTAATTTGAATAGAAAAGGAGTGGAACAGAATATAAAAATGAATCTATCCCAGAGCCCAAACTACGTTGCCTTAATAAGTGAAGTTTTATTATGTGTTTTGATATCCACTAGGGCCTGATTCTACTCCTATTCTTTTTCAAACAGCTTGTTAGTTTTCATGAAAAATATAGGTAGGATTTTAATTTTTCTTGCCCTGAATTCACAAATTAATCTAGGATAAACTGATATTTATACTTACAGGAATGTGGATATCTTTATAGTACTAAGGATTTTAATCCAGGAAAATAATATGGCATTGCACTTTCTTTAGGGCTTTTTGTACTCACCACTTAGTTTTATAGAGAGAAAAATTCTTGTACATTTATGGTTGGTAATCACTAAGTATTTTATTGTTTTGATAATTTTGTTGTATTTTCTAAATTGTTTTTGTATATAGGTATTGGGTTTTAAAAGTTATATCACTTTGCTGAACTCTTATTACTTCTAATAATTTTTCTGTTAAACCTCTTGGAATATCCAAGTAATTGTTCAGTCTCCAAATAACGACTTCTAATTTTTCTTTTTCAATAATTTGCAGTGTTTTCTGCATGCTGACTTAATTTACCAGCCTATGAGTATTGAAGATGAAGAGCATATTACACTTATATCTTTTCTAAGGAATGAAATGATGGCATAGTCGTCTGATTGCTAGGTGTCTCAAAAATTATACAAAGTATCACTTTTCAATATGCAGTCTTAACGTTTTACGTTTGTTTTATTTAATTTCAGAATACCCTCAAATGAACTTTATAAATCAGCTTCAATAGGGAAGAACATTTTGATAGCAGAGTATTTGGGATCCTGAAAAAAAAAATTGGGAAAGAGTTATTTATTACAAACAGTTCTTTCGTACTTACTTTGTATATAGGCACACATATACCTATTTATTTACTTACTAGTACTAGTGAAATTGAGTGGTGTTCTAGAATGAATACTGTTTAAAACATTATTTTGCACTCATAAACCTGGACCTATTAGCAGTAGGAGACAAGCAATAAATATTAATGAATAATTTCCAGTCATATCTGCCAATGATTTCCAGGACATGAGACTCAGATCAAGCTAACTCTTTTTTTTGTGTGTGCGTAAAGCTCGCTCCTATAGGAATTTTCCATTGTAGTATACTCAACTATCAATGTTTTCCAAAAAGCTATAGATATGTGACTGTGTGTGTATATATTTTGGTCTAGGGTCTTATATTTGAAACATACATTCCTTCTCTTCTGCATTCAGATATATGAATTTATGTTTATTCTTCAAGATTCAGGTCAAATATCCTTTCCTTCACAAAATTCTATACTTTCTCAGGAAAATTATTTAAAAAATTAGTTGGTATATGCTTCTTTTATATCAGTTACCACATTATATTGTAGGTGCTTATTTTGATTTCTGTGTCCTTCCTAAACTGTGAGCTACTAGAAACTATTCCGTCTCCATAGTCTAGCATGGACTATGCTATCACAATGTTAAGCCTAGGTATAGAACTGTAAATTATTGTTGAATGAATAAATGTGAATGAATGATTACTAAAAAATATAAAAGGAAGTGAGAGATCAAAAGGGCTGTCTAAGACAAAGTTATAAGTATGCTAATTTAAGAAGAGTATTAGGCTGGGCATGGTGGCTTAAGCTGGTAATCCCAGCACTTTGGGAGACCAATACCAGTGGGTTGCATGAGCCTGGGAATTCGAGACCAGCCTGGGCAATATAGTGAGACCTTGTCTCTACAAAATTTTTTTTAAAAATTAGCTGAGCATGATGGTGTGTGCCTGTAATCCCAGCTACTCAGGAGGCTATGATGGGAGAATTGGTTGAGCCCAGAAAGCAGAAGCTATAGTGAGCCTACCACTGCACTCCAGCTTGGAGTGCAGAGCAAGACCCTGTCTCAATGAAAAAAAAAAATTACCATGAGAAACATGCTAATATTTATGAAATATTATGAAAATATAAATAAAAGCACAAACCTCATAGTGTGGAAATGTGCATTTTGATGCATTAAGGTTCACTATGGTGGAGAAATGTGGTAGAGACCTAATAGGGATCTAAGTGGCACGAGGCCATGAAAACATGTTGAAAGTCAGGAATATAAACAGTATACACTCAGGTACAAATCGTACAAATGACACTATTTTGAGAAGCATATACCATTAGGAGCTGTATTACATCTGCTCCTATATATGCATATGTATTTTTGGTTTACAGGTTACCATATATAGAATATAGGAATTACCTATTTTCCAATAATATAAATGTAAAGTATACGTAGACCATCAAGGCCAGCTTTGTAGGAAATAGACATAATTTCTTTAATCTTTGGCCTTTTTTTTTTACTATATCTTTTAATAAATATTATTTTAAAAGCTACTCATAGATTTTAAGATTTTGGGGGGGGGACACACTTTCTTTAGGCACAGTTTAGGTGCATAATAATTATTGAATTTGGTTGAAAATGCCAGTGTTTAATATGCATATTAATTGAACTTGATGAATTATACATTTATTTCTTTTATATATTTCTTCCTGTATTGAGAGGGATTGAACAACTACTTCAGTTCTTTTTCAGATAAACATTTTAGCAGAAATAAGGACAATGAAGTTTCTTATGGCTATATCTGAAGGCCACATTTAGTTGTCTTTTAAATGATATAGGTAAGACATAAACAGCTGTTAATATCCTGTTTGCTGTATAGCACTTGAGTGATATTTTCAAAATAATTTAATAGAAAGTTTCAATGAGAATTTAATTTAAATGTATATGCAAGTAAAATGAGGGATGACAAGAGCCCAGGACAGTGTTAGAATGGAGGTCAGGTTCAGTGATCCTGTGATTGAGATAGCATTATAATACTGACTCACTGCTACTTCCAGGCTAGTATAGGTCATACCATGAAACAGATTCAGGGTAGGTGTTTGCTTAGGTAGCTTCAAGATGCTTAAGCTTAGTTTGAAACAGCAGAGCGTTGTAGCTAATATGGCATATTCTGATTCTATAAAAGGCGATAAATATTGCTATTCAAATAATGTATTCTGTGGCTACTTTGTCTCTTAAATGATTAAAAGTGGTACTATGACTCATACATTTAAAAAATTAGTAAGTTATTTTAATACTGACTCAATTTTTCTTTTCTTAGCATTGCAATTGATTTTAAAGACAAAACAATTGTTTAGAAGAAATTCATCACATGAATGTTTAAACTTACATAGTTTTGGATACCTGGGAGGTTTTTTTTGTGTGTGTATTATTATTTTGTTCGTCTCTTACTACAGGTTTTCAACACATACTCCAATGAAGATTATGACAGGAGAAATGATGAAGTTGACCCTGTGGCTGCTTCAGCTGAATATGAACTTGAAAAGCGTGTAGAAAAGCTGGAACTTTTCCCAGTGGAACTAGAGAAAGGTTTGTGAGTGCTACAGTGTTTACAGTATCATTATATTGCTATGTTAATAATACAAAATTATTTTTCCAAAATGTAGCCTTTTTCTAAGGATTGGTTAAAATTTTAATTCTCACAGAGGATCTTATTTATTAAGTTTCAAAAACACTTGATTTGGATTCTGAGTAGTTGGTGGATTGAAAATTTAATCCCTACTGAAACCCATCTATCTTAGCTGGCTGGGATGGTGGTTAGGATCAGGGAGGTAAGAGTGAGGCCTAATGCTTTGTTGGGTACTCCCAGAAAAGGTTGGTACAGCTGAGAATTCAGAAAGAGCTGGTATAAGTGAGAGCTTGGGGCAGATGGGTGTTTTGTTTTGTTTTGGTGGATAATTGGGAAATTATGGAGATTCAGAATGAAGACAATAGAATCTAAGGAGATTTAAATAGTAGGGCTACATCCTCTCCACCTCCGAGGGGAGACGGTTGAAAGAGAGCAGGGAGGAGAGGGAGCAGAGAGATTTCCTTCTGTTTTCTCTCTCTGGAATGACACCCTACCTGCTGTAGTAACTGCTGGCCCATGGAACAGAGATTGCCATGTAAGATGTAAGATGGGCATATAAGAACTCAACTATGACCCAGTGATCAGAGAAATAACACCTCTGAGAGAGCTTTGAAAAAAAGAGTAGAACAAACAGATGATAACTTGAATAATAAGAAAAAAAGAAGCAAACAAGAACCTACCCAAGGATAGTCAAGCATGGCTTAAAAAAGACTTTTTTTTTTTTTTTTTTTTTTTGCAAATTATGCCTCCAACAAAGGACTAATACTGAGAATCTGCAAGGAACTCAAATACTCAACAAGAAAAAAAAAGAACCCCGTTAATAAGTGGGCAAAGGACACGAACAGATATTTCTTAAGACATACAAGCATCCAACAAACATGAAAAAATGCTCCACATCAGTAATCAGAGAAATGCAAATCAAAACCACAGTGAGACACCATCTCACATCAGTCAGAACAGCTATTATTAGTAAGTCAAAAAACAGCAGATGTTGGTGAGGATGCACAGAAAAGGAAATGCTGAGACACCGTTGGGGGGAATGTAAATCGTATAATCTCTGGACAACAGTGTGGAGATTTCTCAAATAACTGAAAATAGAACTATCATTCAACTCAGTACTCTCACTACTGAATATCTACCCAAAGGAAAATAAACAATATCAAAAAGAGACTTTAACTTGTATGTTTAATGGAGCGCTTTTAAATGGAAGGTCTTGGAAATAGCAAAGTCATGGAATCAACCTAAGTATCCATTAATAGATGACTGGATAAAGAAAATGCGGCATATATACACTATGGAATACTCTTTAGATAAAAAAGAAAGAAATCATGTCTTTTGCAGCAACATGGTTGGAGCTGGAGGCCATTATCCCTACATGAAATAACCCAGAAACACAAAATTATATGCTGCAAATTCTCACTTATAAGTGAGAGCTAAACAGGGGATGCACATAGACATACAGAGCAGAGTAATAGACACTGGGGACTCCAAAAGGTTACAAGGGTAGAAGGTGGATGAGGCTTGACAAATAACCAGTTAGGTACAATGTGAAATATTCAGATAAAGGTTACACTAAAAACCCAGACCTCGCCACTATGTAATATATCCATATAGCAAACCTGCACATGTACCCCCCTGAATTTAAAAAGATTAAAAAATGACATTCTTAACCAACTTAGCAACAAATTATTTGATTTTGAAATGAAAAATTTCACTAGAATTGAAAAGGATGGTTATTCTTGAGACTTAAATTGGTGATCTAAGATGACCTTTAAGAGTTGTTCCAAAATAATTCTCAAATGACAGAGCAAAAATCCAAGAAAAATCATGAAGGAGCCCCAATATGTAAGTTTTAGGCAATAGGAGGGAAAAATGACAATGAAGGAGAAAAAACTAATAATATCATAGACGAAAAATTTTTTGTCCTTAAAAAAAAGATCTGAGGCTTGTATTAGGAAGGGCTTATCCATTTGCAAGTGAGAGGGCTAAATAACCCCAAACTGATCCCACACTTAGGCATAGCCTGGGAAAAAGTTCTAATATTCAAAGATAAAGTGAAAAATCAAAATACTCAATCAAACAAACAAGCAAAGATACTTGCAAAGGCAAAATAATTAGACTAGCATCAGACTGCAACACTTGAAGCAGAGAGATGTAGACATAATTTTACATGCCACTGAGAGTAAAAAGCTTGGTGATCCAAGAATCCCATATCCATCCCAGACTAGTCATATTACACCAAACATAACTGATGGATTACAGCTGTTAAAAGACACTTTCATTTGGGGTTAAAGTGAATTAAAGAGTAATGCTTACATTTTTCGTACATTTTAAAATGTAAAAGCCATTCTTAACTCGTGGGCCATACAAACACAGCTGGGCCATCATATTACTTATATAGTGGCAAAGAAATGAGAACACTCCAAATATTCATCAATGGTAGAAAGGGCCTATAAATTGTAGCATATCTAGTGAATAAAATATTACTCAGCAGTGAAAATGGAGGTACCACTGTTCATGCAGCAATATGTATGATTATTCACGTGAAATTGAGGGAAAATAAAAATAGCAAACCAAAGAAGAAGCCATTTACTGTAATATAATTGCATTTACTTATATTTCAAAACAAGATAATTAAATAGCATATAGTTTAGGGATACAAAAATGAGTAGTTTTTAAAAAGTAGTATTAAAACAAAAAGTAGGGAATGGTTAACACAATGTTTGGTATAATGGTCACTGAGGAAAGAGTTGCAGTGTCAGGGAGGGATACATGGTGGGCTTTTATGATGTCGGCGATATTCTGGGTCTTTGTACATGGATGTTTCTTTATCCTTTAAACATAATGTTTTATAGATAAGTGTTTTCTTAAGCTCATTTGTATGTTGCCGTGTTTCATACTAAAAATTGAACTAGTTGAATTAAACTAGAAAATAACCAAACCAAATATACTTATTGGATATTTCAATATATTTCTTTCAGAACTGGACAGATTTATGGACAGAAAACAAAAATCAAGGAGTAGGTTAATATAATGAACTCTATTTCAAGCTGTATTTTAAAAGAAAAGTTTTATCCTTTGGAAAAAATTTTTTTAAATTCCTTTAACATGAGAATTTGGAAATTACATAAAACATTCCTAGGTAGATGTTTGATTGAACAGAAAATTAAAATCATATTCCAAACCATCTTGGAAAGGATTAAACTTAAAAAGTCTGTAGCACACACAGCAAAAACTTTACTGAGAATAAAAACTATACCCTTAATTTCTTTCTTTAAAATAGTAAAAAACGGACCTGTCTTAGAAATCAGAAAAAGTAAACAAAATAAAACAAACAAACAATCAAGGAAGAGTACTATACATAAAAACAATATTAGTGACATAGAAAAGAAAAACTAGTAAAATAAGGTAATATAAATCCTTCTATAAAATATATCAAGCACAATACTGACTGAAGAAAATTGAAAGCAAAAATATCAAAATTAGGAATAGAAGACAAATATATGGTGTTACTATAAAAGATCAGTCAGTCACTGTATTTCTTTGTCAAACAAGGTAAATGCCCAGAAATAATTTATGGCCTAACAAAATTTGAATTAGTAGAATTCACTTTAGTATGTGTGAGAATTTAATATATGACACACATGATATTTCAGCTTAGAAGTAATTGTGTGCTTCATAAATTGTTCTGGCCTGACAGAGCATCTATCTGGAATAATCTGAAGTTGGACTCCTTCATTACAGCTTAGGTTAAAAAAAAAAAAAAAAAAGAACCAAAAAAAGAACCTCTACATGGGTTAAATTATAACATATTAAAAATAAAGATGTAAAGAAAATTTACATGACTGCATATATCATCTTGGCTTATGGCAGGAGAGGCTTAACCAAAATGGGAAACCAGAAGTTAGAAAATAAGCTTTGAGCTCCATAGTATGACAATAGCGTCTTCCATAATAACACAGCCCCAACTCTTTCCCATCTTTTTATGGCTGTTTAGTCTTAGTGCTTTGCCTGTCCCTAGGAATGTATAGAGAGGAAGACAGGGTACAGCTGGATTCTTGAAGAGGCAGCCACAGGAATAATAAGTGGCCTTTAAGAATGAGGCTCCAGACTTCACTCATCTTACAGAAAGCTGTATCTAAATAAGATGCTGGAGAAGTTCAGTCTTCTGGCCTCTATGGGTTGACTGTGCTCTTTCTTGTATTACCCTTCAGTTATAACCTTGTCTTTGTAAGTAATTTGCATTAGCATTGAGGATGGCTTGAGTTAATACTGCTTTTTCTACAACTGGCTTTTCAGCTCTGCAAATCTGAGTAATTTTCCAGTTAAAAGCAATGAGAGGAGCGATGGAAGGAAGAAAGAGAATTCTACCAAGACCTGAGTATAGGCAGAGAAAATGTATTTAGAAACCAAGAAGTAATTTTCACTCAAGATAGTTGCAGGAAGAAATTATTTAATAGTGTGATAGTATGGAGATTTCACATTTGTTAGGAGCCTTTTCTACCTTAATGAGTATGGGAAAGTTTGATTCACACCTCTACATTGGCTTGACATGTGATAAGTAATAATGAAGAGAAACCCTGTGAGTATAATGGAAGTAAGCAAGAGTTCAGCCAGAATACTAATACATATATACACCAGAGATTTCATACAGGAGAGAAATTCTATGGTATTTTTTTCAGCGTGGAAGAGGCTATATTGATCATCTGTTAAACAGCACAAGAGTAACATACTAAGGGGAAAAACTTATATGGATGTAAATACTATCGGAAGGCTTTCAGAAATCATTCATCCTTCATCAGTATGAACAAAAATTCATTTTCTTGAGAAATCCTATGAATGTGATGAATATAAATAAGAATCCAGCCATCCGCTAACCTTTTACACACAAGAGAATTCATGATGGGAGAGAAGAAAGTCCTATGCCTGTAACCAACGTGGGAGAGCTGTCAGCATACATCTAACCTTCATGTATACAAGAAGACTTACTCTGGGGAGAAATTTTAAAACTATAATGAATGTAGAAAAATCTTTAATTTTTAAAAAAATTAAAAAAATTTTTAAGATGGAGTCTTGCTTTTGTCACCCAGGCTGGAGTCCAGTGGCACGATTTTGGCTCACTGCAAACTCTGCGTCTTGGGTTCAAGCGATTCTCCTGCTGCAGCCTCCCGAGTAGCTGGGATTACAAGTGCCCACCACCACGCCCAGCTAATTTTTGTATTTTTAGTAGAGAAAGGGTTTCACTATGTTGGCCAGGCTGGTCTTGAACTCCTGACCTTAGGTGATCCACCTGCCTTGGCTCCCAAAGTGCTGGGATTACAGACGTGAGCCACCGAGCTCGGCCTGTAGAAAAATTTTAGCAAGATAAATCCTCTTGATGAAATCGGTCTTTATACCAGAGAAACAATTTGAATAAATAGGAGAAATCACATATAAACATTCTAAATGTAATGAATGAGGAAAGTCTTCAGAGATTATTTATGTTAGTGAACATTAAAGTTTTCACACTGAAGAGATATCGATGCCTGGAATCAATGTGGAAGTACCTTCAGCTGGGGTTCACATCAGGAAGCTAATCCAGGGAAAACACTATAAAGATTCTTATAGCATACAACTGAGAAACAAATCATACTCTTGTCAAATGACACCTTTAAAACATATGTAGAATAAATATGTAAGATTGTCAGGTGTACTTGGAAATAATTCAGGCATAAGTTGGTGATAAGTAATAAGGTATGAGGTGAACCTTCATCAAAAGAATACCATTTACAAGCATCCTGGCAGGTCATGGTAGCTCATATCCGTAATCACAACTCTTTGGGAACCTGAGGCAGGAGATCGCTTGAGTCCAGGAGGTTAGGACAAGCCTGGGCAACATGGTGAAACCCTGTCTCTACAGAAAAAACACAAAAAATTAGCCAGATGTGGTGACATGTGCCTGTAGTCCCAGCACCTTGGAGGCTGAGATGGGAGGATCATCAGAGCCCAGGAGGTTGAGGCTGCTGTGAGCCATGATGGCACCACTGCACTACAGCCTGGTCAACACAGTGAAACTTTGTCTCAAAAATAAAAAAAAGAAAAAATACTTAAGAAAGTAAAGGTTATTGCTAAAAAGTCTTTTTAAAGTGACATTCTGTTGAGTATATGAACCAGTTTTTCTTTAATAATCCATCACTGTTGATTAGTTAGTATTTTTATGCTACTAATAAAACATGATTACAAAGACTTTGAGGCTATCAAAAAATAACTTTGAACTTTAACCAAAACATGTGGCACACAAAATAGTGTATCTCTTATATATTTACAGAAAAGACAAGTGGAAATATGGATAAACACATGATTTTTAAGTGAATTTTTAAAAAACTGTCACACAATATTGTTCATAGGACCAGTAAAATTGAAACAGAAGTGAGTACCTGTGAATACAGAATGGTCAGATACATTATGATGCCATGTCATCATGAAATATTATGTAGTCATTAGAAATAATTTAGAGCTATGGACATTGAGGTCATTGATATCCATGACATGTCTTTCTTTTTCTTTTTTTTTTTTTTTAGACAGGGTCTTGCTGTGTTGCCCTTGGTGGAGTGCAGTGGCATGATCTCAGCTCATTGCAACTTCTGCCTTCCAGGTTAAGGTGATCTTCCCACCTCAGCCCCTAAACAGCTGGTGCTACAGGTGTGACCCATCATGCCCAGCTAAGTTTTCTATTTTTGGTAGCGATGGGGTTTCACCATTTTGCCCAGGCTGGTCTTGAACTCCTGGGCTCAAGGGATTCTCCCACCTCAGCCTCCCAAAGTGATGAGATTACAGACATGACCCACTGTGACCAGACGCTTCATTGGTTTTTAAAAAGTAAGCTGTAAAAAGTAGTAGTTACAATCTCATTTGTGTAAGCAAATAAGAAGGAAAAAACAAGCTAAACATACATATATATATATTCATATATGTCTAAGTATATGTATATATATACAGTAGTTGTTGATGAATATATATTCTCGGGTATAGAAGCACAGAGGAAAGTACTCAAATACATATACTATTTTTTTTTTTTTTTGAGACAGAGTCTCGCTCTGTCGCCCAGACTGGAGTGCAATGGCACGATCTTGGCTCACTGCAACCTCTGCCTCCCGGGTTCAAACAATTCTCCTGCCTCAGCCTCCCGAGTAGCTGGGACTACAGGCACCTGCCACTAATGCCCGGCTAATTTTTTTGTGTTTTTAGTAGAAACACAGTTTCACCATGTTGTCCAGGCTGGCCTCGAACTCCTGACCTCAAGTGATCCACCTTCCTCAGCATCCCAAAGTTCTGGGATTACAGGCATGAGCCACTGTGCCTGGCCACATGTGCTATCTTATTAACATGAATAAACAAGTAAAAAGGAAAATACCATATAAATAAAGGAGAAATTCCAGATATGTTATGATCACATTTATTTAAAATTATATATTTGAACATGTGTACTCTCATGCCTAAAATAATTCATTGCATTATTTAGAGAATCTAGGTTTTAAGGCAGAGTGATTATTCAATAAACAAGTTATTACCTTTTCTTGAGACCACAATGAATTACCAAGAGTAGTAGTAAAATGATGCTAAATGCATGAGCCTTTTGGAGGATCTCATTAGATACCCTAGCTGAAAAAAGAATTCTGCTAAGGCAAACATGTTATTGTCCAATTCATAAAGAAGAATAAAATTAGAAACAGCAAATAGCTCTCACCAGCTAATTGCAGACTAGTGTAAACTTATGTTGTTTCACCTCCTTTTTTTTTTCTTTTTAATAGATGAGGATGGTCTTGGTATAAGTATTATTGGAATGGGTGTTGGAGCTGATGCTGGACTTGAAAAGTTGGGAATATTCGTCAAGACAGTAACAGAAGGTGGTGCTGCTCAACGTGATGGCAGGTAAATTAAGGACTGTTGTTAACTTAAAATCTTCAGGGAACTTTTCTGGAAGTTTCTTTCAGCGGTAGCTTTATGCTTTTATTTGTTGGTTTTTTAATGACAGAAATTCAGGTTTCTTAGATGTGAAAAATCTTGAAACATTTGAATTATTTTCTGATATACAGGCAAAATATCTGCTTTCTTTAATATATATTAGGTAAATGAGTGGGTTGATCTATCAGTCTGTAACTGTCTTTATCTATTCATCTATCTGGTGGGAAGTGGGCAGAAACATGAGTGTATATAGTTGACGATATGTGCTATGGAGGTCAGCACGTAGTTCCACTTCAGAAATACTGAAAGAAATGATAATAGTTCTGGCATCTTAAAAAATGACACAGATAGATGGTAAGTTAGGGACTCTAGTGCTGTATTGATGGTAATTCTGAAGATCAGTGTTTCTCCAAATATATTTATCTGAAAACACAGGTTCTTGGGTGCACCTAAACCTGTAGAATTAAAATCTCTAGTAGGGGAGTCTGGCAGTCTGCACCTTGGATAATTCTAGTACACAGCAGAGCACCCAGATAATCACTGTTTTGCCTTAGCTTTCATCATTGCAAGCTATATACATACATCTATATATGTATGTATGTATGTATATGTATGTCTTAGGTCAAGATTTTGATTAATCCTTATACTTGACTCTGATATATCAGGTTGAGGCTAGAAGCAGAAGGTGGTGTCTTAATTTGTTTTGTGCTGCTATGGCAGAATACCTGAGACTGGGTAATTTATAATGAACAGAAATTTATATGGCTCATGGTTCTAGAGGCTGGGGAGTCCAAGATTAAGGGGCCACATCTGTTGAGGACCCTCCAGTTAAGTCATCCCAGGGCAAAGCAAAGGGAGAGAGATCGAGAAGGGGCCAAATTTGCTTTTATAACAAACTCACTCTCAAAAAATTAAATCCACTTCCATGATAATGACATTAATCTATTTGTGAGGGCAGTGCCCTTTGACCTAATCACCTTTTAAAAGTCCCACCTCTCAATGCTATTGCATTAAAGATTGCTTTGAACACATAACATTCAAACCATAGCAGTTGGCAATATAATAAAAGTAGACCCAAATATATGACTGCTAAATTCAAAGAAATATTATCTTGTTTTATGTACCTTTCATTTTAAATTTTTTAATGATTACATATGTATCATTTGATTGTCTTATCAGGAAATAATAAAGCATGTTAGAAAGAATATGTGAATCTGTGAGGAGACCCAGAACAGAATTTTTTTTTTAAGATGGCGTCTCATTGTGTTGCCTAAGTTGGGATGCGGTGGCGTGATCTCTGCCTCCCAGGTTCAAGTGATTCTCCTGCCTCAGCCTCCTGCATAGGGACTACAGGCACATACCACCACACCCAGCTAATTTTTGTATTTTTAGTGGAAACAGGGTTGCACCTTGTTGGTCAAGCTGGCCTTGAACTCCTGACCTCAAGTGATCTGCCTGCCGTTGCTTCCCAGAGTACTAGGATTATAGGTGTGAGCCACTGCGCCTGGCCCATTGTTTCTGTTTTGCCCATTGTTTCTGTTTTAATCCTAAAAATGCATATTGATACCCACAGATAGTTCTCAAAGAGAGCTAAATTGATTCATGTAAACAGAAAACCACACTTTCTTTTATCTTCTTTTCCGTGAAGTTAGGGATAACATCTTAGTTAATAGCCTTGTTTGTATTCCTATAGTACTTAGTATAATGCCTTGCACAGAGAAGATTTGAAATAAATCTTTTGCATGAACATTCAGCAGATTACAATTAAAACAAAGAATGTGGAATATGAATATATTGTGTCTTAAAGTACTCTTATTAACAGTCTTCCTCCTTTTAAGACTAGTTAAGGAAATAACCTCTTTGCCCCTTTAATAAATTATATATAATGGTAGTAGTATTTACTACCTTTCTTCCAAGAGAACTAAAAGTTGTTTGTAAAATATACCTCATTTCTTACTAAGTTTGATGAAAAATTTTAAGACGGTGGGAAATAATGCTACAGTTAGTATTCAAACATGCTTAATTATTATGAACCATCTCTCTTAAGTGAATTGACCAGAAAGCCAAACCAAAGTACAGCTTGGTTAAAAGAACAAAATGTCAGAAAATTTTACATTCATAGCCAGGTAACAGGTGTCCTGAAGGGAAAAAAAAGCAAATTTTATGTTCAGTAGTTAAACAGTTTCTCTTGTTCTAAACATAGACATATTTGTTTTTCCCTCAATCATTTTAAAATTAGGTTTGTTTTCTATTAACCTATTTACTAATTATTTTTCTTCTGTAAGTTTTATTATTTATAGTTACATTAGAACTCTGCTTTACCAATCCCAGTGTACATTTCCTCAGTCCTTTTAAATGAGTATTTTCCTAGTATACTAATCCTGTTATTGTTATCATAGGTGCTTAATAAATGCCTCAGCGACTATATTAAGACAGGCAACTTGGGCTGGGCATGGTGACTCATGCTTGTAACCCCAGCACTTTGGGAGGCTGAAGCAGGTAGATCACCTGAGGTCAGGAGTCTGAGACCAACCTGGCCAACATGATGAAACCCCATCTCTACCAAAAATACAAAAACTGGGCGGGGGCGCGGGGTAGCAAGCTCCTATAATACCAGCTACCCGGGAGACTGAGGGAGAAGAATTGGTTGAACCAGGGAGGTAGAGGTGGTGGTGAGCTGAGATTTTTGCCATTACATTTCAGCCTTGGGAACAGAGTGAGACACTCAGTCTTGGGAAAAAAAAAAAAGAAAATGAAAGACAACTTAATGTGATGTAATGGACAGAATCTTTAAGATAATGTAACCAGGAGCCTTAATTCCATTCCCTCTACTTATCATCTGGGGATATTGAACAAATTACTTAGTTTTTATGTTATCTACATTGCAGTGTTGTGGTAAGCATTAACTAAGTTTGTATGAAGAAGCATTAACTAAGTTTGTGTGAATTAACCTTCCACAGTGCTATTTGTATATATGAAACTGTTTTTGAACCAGGTAAGAATAAGTTTGAAACTTAACAAAAAAAAAAATAATAGGCCCATGCACAGTGGCTCACGCCTGTAATCCCAGCACTTTAGGAGGCCGAGGTGGGCAGATTACCTGAGGTCAGGAGTTTGAGACAAACCTGGCTAACATGGTGAAACCCCGTCTCTACTAAAATTATAAAAATTAGCCAGGCATGGTGATACAACTCTGAAGTAGCCTGTAATTCCAGCTAGTTGGGAGGCTGAGGCAGGAGAATTGCTTGAGCCTAGGAGATGGAGGTTGCACTGAGCCAAGTTTGTGCCACTGCATTCCAGTCTGGCCAACAGAGCACGACTCTATCTTAAAAAAAAAAAAAAAAAATTATTATGGGAAGAGCCTCATGGAAAACTATTAAATGTATACAATATAAGTACAGAATCAAAATTTTAGAGCTCAGAGAAACTTAGACTTCTCATAATCAATACATTTTGTTATATATTAATAAGAAAATTGAGGGTAGTTGTATATGTGCATATGTGTGTGGGCATGAGAAATGAGAAAATAAAATGATTATACTTACAACAGATTTGTATCTTTTTTTTTGAGACGGAGTTTTGCTCTTGTTACCCAGGCTGGAGTGCAATGGCGCGATCTCGGCTCACTGCAACCTCCGTCTCCTGGGTTCAGGCAATTCTCCTGCCTCAGCCTCCTGAGTAGCTGGGATTACAGGCACGTGCCACCATGCCCAGCTAATTTTTTGTATTTTTAGTAGAGACGGGGTTTCACCATGTTGACCAGGATGGTCTTGATCTCTTGACCTCGTGATCCACCCGCCTCGTCCTCCCAAAGTGCTGGGATTACAGGCTTGAGCCACCGCGCCCGGCCCCAGATTTGTATCTTTTAAATTATTATTTCCACCACTACTGATGTGTTCATTTGCACAGTTTTTACTGTTTACTAATGTTTGCTATTTAAAAGGTATCAACATACAAAAGTTATGCAAAGAGCAGTTCCTCTAGTCAGTAATAATTTTTAAGTTCTGTATACTTATTGACATAGAATGCCATTCAGGACATAGGCATTGTCAAAGACTTCATGACTAAAACACCAAAACCAATGGCAACCAAAGTCAAAATAGACAAATGGGACCTAATTAAACTAAAGAGCCTCTGCATAGCAAAAGAAACTATGATCAGAATGAATAGGCAACCTACAGAATGGGAGAAAAGTTTTGCAATTTATCCATCTGACAAAGGGCTAATATCCAGAATCTACAAAGAACTTAAATTTACAAGTAAAAAACAATCCCATCAAGCAGTGGGCAAAGGACATGAACAGACATTTCTCAAAAGAAGACATTTATGCAGCCAACAAACATATGAAAACCGATCATTAGAGAAATGCAAATCAAAACCACATTGAGATACCATCTCACGCCAGTTAGAATGGGCAATCATTAAAAAGTCAGGAAACAACAGATGCTGGAGAGGATGTGAAGAAATAAGAACACTTTTACACTGTTGGTGGGAGTGCAAATTAGTTCAACCATTGTGGAAGATAGTGTGGCAATTCCTCAATGATCTAGAACTAGAAATACCATTTGACCCAGCAATCCCATTACTGGGTATATACCCAAACGATGATAAATCATTCTACTATAAAGACACATGTACATGTATGTTTATTGTGGCACTATTCACAATAAAAAAGACTTGGAACCCACCCAAATGCCCATTAATGATTGACTGGATAAAGAAAATGTGGCACATATATGCCATGGAATACTAAGCAGCCATAAAAAAGAATGAGTTCATGTCCTTTGCAAGGGACATGGATGAAGCTGGAAACCTTCATTCTCAGCAAACTGACATAGGAACAGAAAAGCAAATAACGCATGTTCTCATTCATAAGTGGGAGCTGAAGAATGAGAACACATGGACACAGGGAAGGGAATGTCACACACTGAGGTCTGCCAGGCGTGGGTAGCTAGAAGAGAAATATC